CTTCTTATGAAACCCAACCCCATGACCTGGTCCCATGTCCCTGAAAATCCACCACTCTTGTCATCACCCTCCTTAATTACATCTCCCCAGCATTCCAGTATCCCTGATAGCATCTCCTGGGTGCCAGCAATTACCTCCCTCTGAGCTCACGAACCCACTTCCTATTTCAGGCATTTGCCCTGTCCATTTCACATTCTGGCCCTGGTAGTGACTTTCCCCCTGGAGACAGGTAAGTTCTGGTCCAAGTTGGGGTGCAGGGGTGAGACCTATAGAGTTCTGAGAGCTCAGTGTCTGCTCTGACACCCCTCTCTCCTTCCCTTTCCTAGCTATGCCTCAGATGCAGCATCAGGCCTTAGCGACATGGGAGAAGGGATGGGACGGATGAGAAGACCCCCAGGGAGAAATCTCCGGCGCAGACCCCGATCCCGGCTTCGGGTCACGAGTGTGAGGAAGGGTCACAGGAGATGGGGAATAAGCTATAGGGCCAGGAGGGAACTGTTAGGGGGTGGGGGAGTAGCAATATGTGACAAGAGGCAGCTGGATTAGTTTCTACTACTAGACTTTGAAGTCAGAGTCAGTTTCTCTGCAATTCGTCTGGCCAATGTCACTTGGTTGGAGAGGGGTGGGGCCACATGATGAGAATAGAGGACTTGACCTCCTCTCCTCTGCTGATTTGAATCCGAAGGTCTCAGACCAGAACGACAGAGTGGTTGAGTGCCAGCTACAGACGCACAACAGCAAGATGGTGACCTTCCGATTTGATCTGGATGGGGACAGCCCAGAAGAGATTGCAGCTGCCATGGTGAGGGCAAGAGATGTGGACAGAGTCTTCAGGTCTGGGACAACAGTCTCCCTCCTGATGGCCCTTGGTGCTGAACTCCTTCTACCCCCTATACGACAGCAAGGGTTCTTGAGAGCACCGGATGGCGCTCAGTGCAGTAACACTGGAGACAACGCGACCCTTATTTTGGGGAGATGTCTGTTTATCCAATAAGGTTTGGCTCCTCAACTGGAACAAAGAGAGGCAGGGTATATACAAATGCTCTGGTGCAGTGCACACTAGATGTGATAGTGTGGCTATAAGTAAAGCATAGGCTGGGGGCTGCAGGGGGCAGAGGCAGAATTTATGCAAGGCCCTGACCAACAGGAAAGAATGGTAGTGAAGAGTAGAAAGTGTGTCTCGTGGCCATACAGCATAAGCAAAGGCATGGAAGTAGGGAGTGACTTAGAATATTGGGACTGGGAGAGCTCCATGAGGAGACCACTGTTAGTGGACCAGGGATTCCTGTAAGAATTGTGGAGGCGTGGGTGTATGTGGGCGTGTAGAGTGGGACCAGATTATGGACCGTCTTAAGAATTAAAATGGTGAAAATAAGCTTTCATTCTGCCATGGGATGTGGGAGGGGGTTGGAGATAGGGGGCAAGTGAATATAAGAAGCCAGATGAGGATCAAGGAAAGAATGGATTATGGGGGCAAGGGATAGAAGAAAAGGGGTTGCTGGAGGAAAAAAAAGTTACTCTGCAATCCAGTAATTATTGACACGGTATAGTACACAGAAGTGTCGGTAAATATTTTCTGAGTTGTTCTGATAGGCAGTTAGGGAGAGGGGATGTCAAGGGTGACTTGTGGCTGGAGGAAATGATGAAATAAACCATCAAAGGGCAGAGGGTGTTGGAAATGAAAATAATTCTTTTTTTAGGGGTCAGGTTGAAATTGAATTACAGAGGGGTAGACATGATAAGATGCTTCATAGAGGCAAGATAAGGGGCAGGCGGGACTGGGGAGAGAGGTGGGTTTAGGAATCATGAGCAGAGGATTGAGAGTACAGGGAGATAGACCTGCAAAGTCAGAGTCGTAGAGGGCCCAAGAGTGTGTCTCAGTGGATACCCCCAATTCCTCAGAGAATTGGGGGGAGAGATACATCATTGAGGGACACAGAGATGGAGACAGAGAGGTAGGAGGTGACCATGTGATAGTAAAAACTCAGTGAGAGTTTCAAGGAGGCTGCTTAGGGCAATGACTGTGGTGAGTGTGCTGGCTTCTGTCAGGAGTCTTTGTGGGGGTCTGTTTCAGTGGAGTGGGGGAGTGGATGCCAGCCTCTGGGGTGAAGTGAAGGAAATGGGAAAAATGTCAGGTTCCGGGAGCTCTCAAACACTTCTCCTCTGCCCTGTCATTTACTGTGTGTCACAACGACAGAATATCACTTGGCATGTGGCTTACCACCTTCCCCATCAAGCCACTTGACCTTTCCAGAGTCTTCCAGTCACTCTGGTTTCTGCACGGTCCTGCAGAGGTCCTCTTTGCTTTCCTCCCCAGCACACCCTCCACTCCTCTGCAGCACAGAGACTTAGAGCTGATCTTGTTGCTTTTTGACCCCTAAAAGTAGCTTCCTGTGGTTAGAGTAAGCACCAAATTCTGGGGCGTGGCCTGGGAAGTTCACAGTGCTCTCAGGCAGACTTGTCTTCGTGCTTTGTGAACGTGCCACTCTTTCAGGCAGAGCTGTTATTCATGCTGTTCTCTGCCTTGACTGCCCTGCTCTTCCTGACGAGCAGGGTGGTAGAGGAAAGGGTGGGCTCTCACCCATCTCCTGAGTCCAAATTTCAGGTGTTGTTTCCCAATTTGGGGACTTTGGGCAAGTTTCTCAACCTCTCTCAACCTCCATTACTCATCAGGGAAGTACAGGTTATAATACTTATTTTGCAAAGATGTTCTGATGTGTAATTAACAAGAAGTGATATAATATGTACCAGAAGTGAGTGATACAGTAGCACGTATGAGAAGCGTTCACACCTGGTAGGTCCTCGGTTAAGAGTTGCTTTTCTGACTCATCCTCCCAGGCTCAGCCATCCAAGCTTCCTGTCCTCCAGGGTGGTATGACCAGTTCTCTTTGGAATAGCAATTTTTTGTAATTTTAAAAAGCACAACAAAATGTACCACCTTAACTGTGTCAGTGTACAGTGCAGTGGTGCTAAATATATTCATTGTTGTGACATAGCCCTGGAACTTTTGATTCTTGCAAATCTGAAACTATCCATTAAATAACTCTCCCTTCCCCCTTCCTGGAAGAGCATTTTTAATCACAATTGCCTCACTTCTCATGGGCTGCCTTGCCAGACTGCTGACATATGTAAACCTTCCACTGGGTTTTTGGCTTCCAGACCAGGACCTTGTTTCCCGTATTCCTCACAGGGCCTAGCACAATGCCTGGTGCAATTTGCATTGGTGGAATTATGACATTTACATTTATTGCCTTATTTTTACTTAACTTTGTGTGGGGGGGGGCGGGGATGCTGTATGGTATGCTTTTAAGCCCTGGTAGAGCAGAGGAACCGTGTCTGAAAACACATGAGGGTCCAGTGGGAAGAACTCAAGCTGACTTCAGAGAGATCTGGGTGGTCCTTGACATTAGTTATCTAAACTCTAAAATGGAGATGTTAATACAGACCCCAGAGAGCTGCTGTTGGGGGTAAATGTGGTATGAACAGCACCAGGTGTGTGCAGCGTCCAGAGCGGTAGCACCTTTCCTCAAAGCTGCGTTTCACCTTATGACATGCAGCAGATACTCAGATGCTTGTTCTGGATTGGTGGCTGGCAGGAACAGGGGGATGAAGGGTTGGTTTTTGAGGACCGGGGGTTGGGGTGGGAGAGGGGTGAGTAGATGAACTGAGCCTGCTTTCCCTTTCCTATTGACTCCTGTAAGGTGTATAATGAGTTCATTCTGCCCACGGAGCGAGCGGGATTCCTGAGCCGGATTCGGGAGATTATCCAGCGAGTAGAGACTCTGCTGAGGAGAGATACTGGCCCCGTGGAGACTGAAGACCCCCCAAGCCCTCAGGTTAGACCCCTCTGGGCACTTCTAAGGGAATGGACTCTACTCAGACCCCATTATTCTGCCTGTGCCAAACCCCTTCATTTCTGGGACCCCAAAACAGTGGCTCTTACCCCGTCTGAGAATTGGATGAAAGTCATAGACCCTTGTTCTAGAAAACAATATTCCATGCATACTTAGCTTTTCACTCATTATTTTGAAATCATTTCAGACTTACAGAGAAGTTGCAAAGAACTGCTAAATGCCTTTTGCCCCAATTTGCCAACTGTTAGTGTTTTGCGTATCAGCACTATCATTCTCCCTTTCTCCATGTATGAGCAAATTATTTTTCCCAGAACCTCTTGAAAGTAACAGATATCATGCCCCTTTACCTCTAAATATTTCAGCATATACACTTTTGAATCCCTTGAGACCATCTATGGACTCCTAGAAGTTCCTGGGTCCCAGCTTAAGAACCCCAGACTGAAGCCTCCCAAGGCCTCCTGTTCTCCCCACTGTTAAGGGCCCCTTTCTCTCACTCAGGAGGAGCCAGCACCCTTGCCTGCCCTCCCAGGGCCCCTCCCAGACCCCACCAATGGTATGTATCGAGTCCTGTTCCTGCTCAGCCCAGCCCTTGCTATTGCTCCCGGAGGGAGCTGGAACTTCAACACACCTTCCCCCCCAGGAGAGGTCCGGAGCAGCGCCTCCCCGGAGCAGAGGGGCTGGGCAGCCTTCTCTACCTCCCCATCTTCTCCAGGAACTCCCTTTTCCCCAGGAACCCCTGTGTTCCCCATCACTTCTCTCACATGTCATCCCAGCCCTTCCCCATTCTCCCCAGTGTCTTCCCAGGACTCTTCAAATCTCTCTCCACCCCCTCCCAGCTCTCCACTTCCATTTTCCCCCAGTGCATCCCGGTGTCCAGACCCTCAGTTTCCTCAGAGTTCTCTCCCCAGCTCCCCACTTCCATTCTCGCCTAGTTGTTCCCAGGTCACCTCGATTCTGCCTTCTTTTCCTCCATACCCCCCCGATTCTCCCCTCCCCTCCACCACAGCAGCTCCTCTCCTCTCTCTGGCTAGTGCCTTCTCACTGGCTGTGATGACTGTGGCCCAGTCCCTGCTGTCCACATCCCCGGGGTTCCCTTCCCAGTCTCCTCTAGCCCCTCCAGGTCCCCTACCCAGCCTGCCCCCAGCCCCTGCCCTTGCTCCTTGTGACCAGGAGAGGCTTTCACCCCTGACAACTGAGATGGAGAGTGAGGTGAGTAGGAGACCACGGGGGATGAATAAGGGGCTCCATTCTATCAGTTCCTTCAAGGACCTACTTTTTGCAGGCCTCTCCCAATCCAGCTCGGTCACTGCTGGGTGAAGCTAGACTGGCACCCATCTCTGAAGGTGAGAGACTGACCACTGTCCTCAGTCCTCTTTATATCCAGCCACTGATAAACCTTCCTCATCCCAACTCCTTGTCTCTCTACAGAAGGAAAGCCCCAACTTGTTGGGCGTTTCCAAGTGACTTCATCCAAGGAACCAGCTGAGACTCTTCCCCTGCAGCCAACATCTTCAACCCTTTCTGGTTCCCTGAAGCCTCCAACCCCTCAGCTGACCTCGGAGAGCTCCGACACAGAAGACAGTGCTGGAAGCAGGCCAGAGGCCAGGGAAGCGCTGGCTGAGAGTGACCGTGCAGCCGAAGGCCTAGGGGCTAGAATTGAGGAAGAAGGGGACGATGGGAAGGAACCCAGAGTGGGGGGCAGCCCCCCACCCCTGAGCCATCCCAGCCCAGTATGGATGAATTACTCGTACAGCAGCCTGTGTCTGAGCAGTGAGGAGTCAGAGAGCAGTGGGGAGGATGAGGAGTTCTGGGCTGAGCTGCAGAGTCTTCGGCAGAAGTAAGTCTGGGGAGGAGGGAGGACAAGAGGAACTCTTGGGAAAGCGAAGTGCACAGCTAACCCTCTCATGCTCGGTGCGTCCTCAGGCACTTGTCAGAGGTGGAGGCACTACAGACACTACAGAAAAAGGAAATCGAGGACTTGTACAGCCGGCTTGGGAAGCAGCCCCCACCGGGTATAGTGGCACCAGCTGCCATGCTGTCCAGCCGCCAGCGGCGCCTCTCCAAGGGCAGCTTCCCTACCTCCCGCAGAAACAGCCTGCAGCGCTCAGAGCCCCCAGGTCCTGGTGAGACTGCGGACACCAGCTTCCATCTTTCCTGCCCCCTCCCCAACTGACCTGGCTTTCTTCCAGGCCCTGGCAGTCTGCCCCTTGGTTTGGGGGGACTAGCCTCCCTCTCCCCACGGTCCCTTCCCTCATTCAGTGCTGCTCTCCTTCCCCATCCTGCACCCAGGCATCATGCGAAGGAACTCTCTGAGTGGCAGCAGCACCGGCTCCCAGGAGCAGCGGGCAAGCAAGGGGGTGACATTCGCCGGGGATGTTGGCAGGATGGTGAGGGCGGGCCCAAGAGAGGGAGAGCCTGGGAATGGTAACTGGTTGCAGCTTCACCTTCCTCTCACTCTGGAGGTTTCTTCAGTGCCTTCTCCCCCCCTCCAGTGATTTCAGAACAGAAGCCATGTGTCTCTCCCACACCAAGAACCACCATGGAGCTTGTGCTCTCAGAATCTGCTGACCAACAGAACTGTGCAAGGAAGGCCCTGGCACCGAGGGAGTAGAAGGCCAGAGGGGCATGGAGAGAGCTGCTCCACCACAGGGAAGCCAAGTGTGGGAACTGATTGCTGTGTGCAGAGGTGTTGGTTCTACAGCCTGCAACTCTCATCCCTGTCACCTCCCCAGCTAAGGGTCAACCACTAAGCAGTCCCATCCAAGTCCACATGCTTCTAGAGGGTGCAGTCCCAGATGGGCGAATGGAGGGGGTGTTCTTATACCAGAATTAAGAGCAGCCAATAAAAATGCTGGAAACTAGTACTCTGGATTTGTATATGTTGTGCCTTAAGAACTGGGGGGAAAGCCAGTTCTGGGTGAGGCAGGGAAAGATTTAGAAAGAACTTTCCTCTCACAATGGAAAGTAGGGGTAGAAGCTGCCCAGCCTTCTGGCTTCCTGCCAGCCAGCTATTCATGAGGAAACTGACAAGTCAATGATCCATCTCACCAAGCTAAGATCCCATCCAGACCCCACCCTAGACCTAAATAGGCAGGACACAATAGAAATGAAAAGGAAGGAGGTTGTCTGTCTCTCATCCTTCATCTACCTCTCTAGTGAAGGGAAAAGGCAGATAAGTTGGGGTAAGGATGTATTGTTCTTGGGGATAAAGGGCAAAAGGGTGACTGACCTTCCTTCACCTAAAACATTGGTTTAGTCTCAAATAGCCCAGTGACATTCTCCCCGCCCCAATGATCTTTCCCTTAAATCATGTGGAAAAATCTCAAGGAAAAAAGTAATTTTAGTTAAATATTTACAGCAGCTCCCTGGGGCATGCCACTGCTCCAGCTACTGCCTGCAGAGCTTTCCAGCATGAAGTGTCATGCCATCCCTTGGTCCCAACACACTTATTTGGCTCCATGAGAGATGACAGTTTATTTTCTTAACCTAAACCCATCTTTCCCACTTTAGGCTCTAACACTGCACAGAGCTGCCACCCCTACTCCCATAACAGTCAAGACACTGACAGGTGAAGGGGGTAAACCATAAAGTCAGAAAACTTGAGAAATGTCAAGGTCACAGCTCTCAAACAAGGAAACAAACTATAATCTCAGTCCCCACGCACAATGAGTGTGAAGTGGGCCTTGAAATGCATAACTCTCTGGCTTCTTGGGCTCAGTTAATCGTCCAAGGTTAGTAAGAAGACCAGCAATGCTGTGACCAGGTTTCCATTTCTACAGGGTTATGGGGCATCACCCATCATGTCAGGGGCTCCAGCAGGTTGGAAGTGTGCAGTGCTCAACTGGATCAGGGTCCTGATGCCCTTGCCAGGGCACGGGCTCGGGCAGCTTTGGCTTCCTCCTCCAGGTCATCTAGGAAACGCTCCTGGGACACCGAGTAGAAGGTGTAACCATCTGGGAGGTGGGTTCAGGAAACCACTTGGAAAATGCACATTAGTTTTTCCTAAACTCCCTACCATCATCCTCTCAAACCAATGATTCCATCTTCTGCCCTCTGCTCTTCTGAGCCCTGAACCCCTGCTCCGTCACTACTAATAAATCATACTTAAAAAGCAACTTAAAATGACCAGGTACAATAAAACGCTTTCACTCGGCCTTACAAGTGGTCAAGACTTTCACAGGTCAAGCTCTTTCCACCACCCCCACACTGTCCTCCCACGCGCCCTTGCTCCCCTTCCCCTACCCCCACATACGGTCTCCCCGGTTCTACAGTTCGGAGGGATACAGATAGCTAACACCAGGGCCCCGATGCCGAGGCCGGTCAGGACGTTCCGAGTCCGCCGCTGTGGTAGCGCCTTCTGCCACTGGGCAAGCTGCACCTGCCGCATGAACTGCAGTTGCGCAGGAGTCAGCTTGTCCCGACTTGGATCGATGCGCTGAGCCAGAGGGGCCTTGCTACTCTTAGCTTCGAGAGGATCTCCAGCTCCGGGGGCCGCCATACTGCCGCTCCGCCCTTCGCAGTCCGAAGGCGCGGGCTGACTGGGAATTGAAGTCCTTGGGCGCCGCAGGGGACGCTGGGAGTTGTAGTCTTTCCACCAACAGTGCGGCTCCAGGCTTTCGGGGAAGGGCGGGGAGGTGGGAAGCGGTTGTGCTTTCTGATTGGCTGAGGGGTCGGCGGCCGTTGGGGCGGGAAAACACTGCCTGGAGAGACGGCTCGAGGCCGTGGTGCAAATTGGGTTTTCCTCAGACTTGAGGAGAAGACAAAACACCAGGGGGTCGAAGACTCCAGTGTGTGGCAAAAGGCTCTGGAGAGAAGCTAAGTGGGTCCATATATGGGTCCAGTGAGACGTGTGGGGGTCCAAAAAGGCTTTTGAAAATGAACAGAGCTGTGAGGCCCAGATTGGCTTCCCTCAGTGACTTTCAGTTTGGAGCTGCCGCCACGGAGACCATAGAAGACGCGCTGTTGCACTTGGCCCAGCAGAATGAGCAAGCGGTGCTGGAGGCTGCCGGCCGGATGGGCAGCTTTAGGGACACCCGGATTGTGGGTGTGGACGCCGGGCCCGGGTGTGGGGTTTATGGGAGGTTGGGGCGTCTGTCTCTGAGGCACCGACCTTGAGCTTCAATTCACTTCATTCAAATAAGTTTCCTTAGAACCTACTATGTACCACGAGCTGGTGATGAACAGGCTGCAGGAGCACCTTAGCCTGGGTTCCAAGCTGTTCAGAATACTTAGTGTCCATGTTGCGTGGCTAGAAAGAGAGGGCGAGTCCCTGCTCGCAAACCACTGCTGTGTAATCTTTGCAGATCTGCAAATGGCTTGGTACAAATAAGGTTAGACAAGTGACAATCAGATAGGCAAACTCTTCTGGGGGTTGCAAGACATGAGGGAATGACGCGGGGTAGGAAGAGTTAAAGGAGGCCTCCAGGCATTGCCACATTTGAAGTAGGCCGTGGACTGAAACATGCCATTTTGCTTGATGGTGGAGGGGGGCAGCCTTCCTACCAAAAGGGGTCTGGGGATAAAGACACTTAGGGTGTGTCTACAGTGTACCCCGGTTGGAAAGAGCACTTGGAGAGTAGTTGAAATTAAGCCTGGAAAGATAGTTTGGAGATATTCCATGTACCTTAGAAAAAATTATTTTGACTGTGATGTAAAGGCTGGATTGGAGCAGAGAGAGGTGGGGGTAGGCAGACCAGTGGATTCTGTGTCAGTTATCTAGGTGATAGGGCAGAGGGAATGGCAAGGGAGGATGGATTACAAACATTTTAGAGGTAAAATCTAGGGGTCTGCAATGGGTAAATTTAAGAAGCGAGTAAGGAGAGAAGATGATTATGCTGAAGGGTTGAACCTTTGAGACTGAGATTACAGTGGGGTCATTAAGGGAAATAAACAGTTAAAAAACAGGAGGAAAGGTGACTCCCATTGGGGAAAGCTTGGTTTCGGATATAGTGAGTTTCAGTCTTGTAAAACATGACGAGGAAGGTTTCTAGCTGACTATTTTTTTTTTTTTTAAGTAAGAAGAGAGGTCAAACCTAGAAATAAAGACCTAGTTATCTCTATAAGGATGCTGTTGAAACTGTGGCATTGAGTTCCTAGAGAGAGAAAGGAGAAGCAAGACAAGGATATTTCCTTGGGAAACTCTTTGTGTTCAGGGAATTGGAGAAAAGTCATGAAGGAAATGAAAGGAGTGGTTGAGGAAAAACAAGAGGCCTTTGGAAGCCAAGGGGAGAATTTCATGAAGGATAAAAGCAGTTTCAGATATTTCAGGCATGTGAACAATTGGAATGATTATTGCAAAAGGACCATGATATTTAACAATTAGGACATATTTACTGACCTTTGAGATAAGCACTTCAGCAAGTTGGGAAAAGTATAGTCAAATTGTAGAACATTAGGGAGTGAATGATGTAGAAGCAATAGGTATAAGCTAAGTTTTCAAGAAATTAAAGAGACGGAGCCCTAGCTTAGGTGAATAGAAAAGGATGGTCTTTCAGTTAGTAACAGATTTGAGTTTGTAAGTGGAGGAGGTGGAGCCAGCATCAAGGAAGAGGTGTAACCCTCATCCTTTCCACCTAACCAAAGTTTTCTTGGCAAATTAAAATGGAAAACAGAAACAATTGCCCAGATAATTCAGACCAAAACCCAAAAACCCCAATTATAGACACATATACACACCCCACCACCACCACCACTACTAACAACAAAGAAATCTTATAATTCCAGGGAATGAAAGGACCGGTTGATAACACACAGTTATGTGTTGTAGGGTATTTTGGTAATTGCCTAAACCAGTTCTCTCTGCATTGGACATTGCTAGCAGAACTTTAGTCTCTAACGAGAAAGTTTTGTGATACCTATCTACATGTACTGTGTCTAATGCTAGCTTGACTTTATTATAGTCTTTTTCCCTAAGAAAGTCAAATTTTTTAACAGATATATGATTTGACTATATAATTCTTTGCTGATAAATGCTATAAGTTCCTAGTTCTGCAGGAGTTTTCTTCCTTGAGAACTAACCTTTTCCTTTGTTTCCACCCTTTCATAATATTGCAAACTAAATAGAATTCTATCTGGGGTTGTTCTTTCAAAGCAAAATAGAGGCAACCTAAAGTCTTGCCAAGGTATCTTGTCCGTCCCACCTTCTAATGACTTTTTTTGCCCCAAGATTGTGCTAAGCTCCCTGATTTATGGGGATGTTTCTTCAAAACAAGTCGCTCCAAGTAAGAAAATTGCTCCTGGTGAGAGGCTCAGCCACCACAGATTTACCCAACAAACTGGTGGTGGAGAAATGGTATCCAGCTGTAAGGTGACTTGTGTTTGTAAAGCAGTGGGAGTTCTCCAGAGGGTGGTTACTAAACAAACAGTGTTATAAAGAATATTGAAGCTCCAGGAGGGACCTTTCTGTTCCTGTCAACATTCCACTGAAAACAGAATATAGGGGTTAGGGTTTTTATCCATCCAAGAACCTCTCTTGAAGCTGGGGTCCCAGCATGGTGGAGAGGCCAGCCAGACCAGCTGGTGTGTTTGTGTGTTGCTGCCAAGCCTTTTATCAGCTGAGACCCACAGGAGGGCTCCAGGGTGGCCGAGGGGGCTTGGTCAGTCCTTGTCTTTGGCACTCAGTCAGCCTCCTTTCCATGCCTCTGATCTGCCTGTTGGCAGCAAAAGGAACTGAGCTCAGCTTGGGTTGTTTCAGTCTCATCTTTCTCACCTTCTGACCCTCTTCCCTTGGTCCCGTCGTGGCCTTTATACAACGCCCAAAATTCACAAAGTGCTTTTGGTTGCACCTTGCGAATTAGGCTCTTCTTTCCTGTTTTGGCAGAGTTTGTTTTTCTCCTGTCTGAACAATGGTGTCTGGAGAAATCCGTGAGCTACCAAGCTGTAGAAATCCTAGAAAGGTAAAGCCTGATCCTAAGGCCTTTTTGAGAGGCAACTCTCAGAACCACCCAAATCTTTTTAAAAAGCACAAGCTGCTCCATACCACGAGACTGGTTTTGCACCCTCTTTTACTTACAAATGTTAACTTTTTTAGCCAGTGATTAATATTGGAGATAAGACTGCAGCATAGTTTGAAGCACAAACTCCCTTTCATTTGGGTGAGTGTGGCTTGCTTACTCTTTTTTTCCTTCTTTATAGTTTTATGGTTCAGCAGACAGAGACTATCTGCAGGCAAGCCGCACTCCAGCCAAGAGATAAGGCAGAACTTCAGAACTGGAGGGCCCTGAAAGAGCAGCTTTGCGACAAGTTTATCCTGCGTCTCGTGTCATGCGTTCAGCTGGCAAGCAAGCTCTCCTTCCACTACAAAGTAAGGAGCTAGGGTCACCCATGGGCACCTGTGGATTTGAAAGAGACTAGCTCATCCAAAGAGGACTGTGAGACACCTACTCCTGGGCTCATGTGGAAATCCCAGTGGGCAATTATGCTTCCTAAGCATACACACATACACACACAGAGTCACACACACTCAAACAGTCACACACAGTCACACAGAGGCAGTTATTTAATAGCCTGAAGTTCTGTTCCCAAAGTATAATTGCTGGACAGATGCCATTGTTCATACAGGTCACCTTCCTTCCCTGTGGACCCAAGGACAGTTTACATAAGGTGCCTGATTTGCCAACATACCTATCAGTGTTAAAAGCAAACTCTTAACACTTGTAGGGATAAACTGTTTCCACATTGCCACCCCATGCCTATATAGTGAAGTAGCATCCATTCATTAAATACTCTGTCTGCTGGGTGAGATGCTACAATAGGTACCATGGCTACAACAATACAAATATTATCTGGGCTGTCAAGGAATTTGATTATCTAATGAGAGACGACACAGGCAAATGTGAGAAAGTGTGCTCCGATCAGTGTAAATACAGAGGGCTATGAGTGAACCTCACAAGCCTCAGAGAACCCATGAAGTGTTTTTAGAGAGAATGACTTCTTGAAGGGGGAGGGGTGGGAAGAGAGAGGAGTTGAGGAAAGCTGGGAGAGAAGAGAGGGAGGGAAGGGAGATCTGCATACTGGAAATAGCATGTATATCCACATGGAGAACTTGCTGGACTTGGGTCCTGCACATAGTTCTACATATACGCGTAGAGTATAAGGAGAAGCTACCAAGAGAGATGAGATGAAGACACAAGTTGGGTAGTAGAGGGCTGTGTTTGGATACCATACCAAGATGTAATGGTCTTATTCTGATCTGCTTCTCTCCTTCTCACATTTTGTTTTTCTTTGCTCAGATCATCAGCAACGTTACTGCATTGAATTTCCTCCAGGCTCTAGGGTATCTCCACACTAAAGAAGAACTTTTGGAGTCAGAGCTTGATGTTTTGAAGTCCCTGAACTTCCAAATCAATCTGCCTACTCCCTTGGCCTATGTGGAGATGCTCCTGGAGGTTTTAGGTATTTTATGAAATACCTCAGGGAAAATGGGCTGGAGTCTTCCAGAGAAAGCAATAAGAATGTGCCCAGGGGGTTGGGGACAGTGGGCAGCACCTGCCAATGAGGTCACCAGCAGGACCTGGGGTGACTGAGGGAAGTAAGTGCTCCCTCTGCTATTTACCAGGGAAAGCAGTTCAGATCTCAGCACCCAGCTTCTATTTGAACTTACTGGGTACTCTCCTATTGCAGAAAGAGTTGATTTTATAAAGAGGCATGAGATCAGAGAAGAACAAATATACCCTCATTGTATATACACTATGCTTGGAGATTTCTCTCTCCCTTTGTCCTTCACTACTGACCTCCAGCTACAGAGGTTTCTTACAGTGGACCATAGCTACCAGGAAGCACATTAGTAGTACAGTGGCTTTATGTCACCTGACAACTGTGATGATGACCAGAGAAGACCCGCATGATGCTCTTACCATGTCCTTACTCCATCCAGGATACAATGGCTGTTTGGTCCCAGCCACACGGTTGCATGCAACTTGTCTAACCCTGCTCGACCTGGTTTATCTTCTGCATGAACCCATATATGAGAGTCTGCTGAGGGCTTCAATTGAGAACTCCACGCCCAGTCAGCTGCAAGGGTAAGGCAAATCCTTTAGGGTAGGTTTCTTCCAGAAACAGGTCAGAAATATACCATAAGGACCTGGGGAATGGTATTAACCTAGGGAGGGATCCAGTGCACAGGTAACCTGCAGGGGTTACCTGGTTCTAATTCCAATGTTTCTTGGCTATAGATGACTGAGTCCAATTAGCAAAACCCTAAAGGCTTTTTACTTTTAAATCTAAATGACTTCAAGCAATTAACATACTTTCTTTCCTAGTTCTTTTATTGCTGCTTATAACTTGAGATTACTGAACTGCTTTTATAGTCACTGAGGGGAAAAAGCCAGTCACAAGGTTGTAACTTGGACAAAAGCATTTGATTACTGTAAAGTCAGACTGGTAAAAAGCCTCACAGTTACATTTGTCAAGGGGACAGCTGGAACAACAAAAGACCTAAAACCATTCAGACATGAAGCTCATGTTCTCATCCCAGTTGAGTTGGGGGAGGTTGGGGAGGGGCCAATCAGCGATTGACCATTTCATTCCATGTCTAAAAAATTCAAGATGAGCACCAAACAACTCACAGTTGAAGTTCCATGACTCTAAGATTTCGAAGATCCAGTTTCACCTATCTCCAAAATTAATATGGTTTTAATTACTCAGGGAAAAGTTTACTTCAGTGAAGGAAGACTTCATGCTGCTGGCGGTAGGAGTCATTGCAGCAAGTGCTTTCATCCAAAACCATGAGTGCTGGAGCCAGGTACGCACCACTGAGCAGGACCAGCACGGTCAGAATTCATTTAGCAGACAGCATTCTCCATCAGTTAAAGGAAAACAGAACACGACCTATAAAAGATAAGTGCCAAGACCCAGGATTAGGATGAGCGAGCAGGATTTGGGAGAGGAATGACTAGGGTAGGACTGAAGTGTTCCCCAGCATTCATTCCTCTTGTGAAACTAGAAATGGAGGCCCAAGGTCAGCTTGTTCATTTCCCTTTATAATTTGCTGTTATGTCAAAGTCCAGTAATTATATCCTCCCAAATAGAGAAAATGTCAAGGCCCAAATGTCCCCCTCCTACTTCCACAAGGCGTATCTCCAGCAGAGTTAAGAATCTAGCCAAAACCTTCCATGCTCAGTATCAGAGCAAAGGTATCCTAATGAGATTTGGCCACTGGCAAATACTGGGATCTGGATTTAATCTTCTCTGTAAGTTCACGGAAAGGAAAAGCTTACATTTGGCTTGAGTCAATAGCCCAAGCAATGTGTCTGTTTGTGCACTAAAACATGTTGAGATTATTTAGTAATAAGAAATCTGTCTTTTCTGAAGGTTGTGGGCCATTTGCAGAGCATCACTGGCATTGCCTTGGAGAGCATTGTGGATTTCTCTTATGCAATCCTGACTCACAGTTTGGGAACCAACACTCCAGGGCCTCGGCAGCCTGTTCCTCCCCACCTGGGGGCCAGAGCTCTGAGGGCTGCCGCTTCCTCCAACACATAAGGCGGGCCGGACCCCTCAGTTATAAATAACTTTCCAGTCATTATACTCACATCCCTCCCTTTGTTTATTTTCATACTCAAGGCACAAAAGTTCCAAGTATCTTTTGAACTATATTTTGTATTTCAACTTCATGCTTATTTTCTATATTAGAGTTAAGGTGGACAAGCATGTCCTTTTTGTCAGACTGAAAATGTCAAAGGGCTTGAAGGAGATGCAATATTTGTTAAGTTGATTTATTTTTGCATAACAAGGTATTTATAGCTTTAACTGTTAAGTTCACTGAGGGAGAACACAAATTTGGAGATGACCAGGGGCTCAAATACTGAGATTATATGGGTGACCTTGACTGAACATCATGGAGGCAGCCTTTATTTCCTCTCAAACTTTTCTGCTATTACTGAAATCTACACAAATAGGTTTTCCTCCACAGCAATAAATTTTCATTAGTCTTTTTAAAATGAAAACTAGCCCATTTCTAAACATGTTTCATCAGGATTTCCACAGACCTGCACTTGAACTCAATCTTCCCAGAATACAAAGTACTCTATTTTAGTTAAAGAAAAACCCAACAGCACACCTCTGGGCAGTTATCAGACTGCAGCAAATCTTTTATTACAAATAATTAAATCTCTCCATAACATCTCAAACAGCATCAAACACAATTTCATAACTCTAATAGATCAGAGTAAGCATTCAGTACTAGAACCGAGTGAGGAGAAGTGTTCTATTTCAAGCTTCTGATCACACCACACGGTGACCACACAAAGCATATAGGTCATTTCCTCACGTTATCCATCTGTGCCTTACACATCTCGTCATCTCAGTAGAAACAGACGTTTTGATTTCATATTGTAAGTGCATGAAGTTGAGAGAGATAAAATCCAGTGAAAACATATCAATCTCAATTCAACTCAGTCTTTTTAAAAAAGCAAACTTAAATTAGTTTTGAGTGGGGAGAGGGAAAAGAAGGCATTGGATTAAGAGTCAAACTATGACAAAGGTGGCTAGACATGGCATGTTGTAGTGTTGGAAGCTCTCCATCATCTCATTTTATAATAAAGTGGCTTTTGTGGATTTTTTTTTTTTTGGTATTGTAAACATGTGTTGAATCCAAATTGAATTTAAAACAATTTTTTGCAAACAAAATTTAAAGCCTTTAAGGCAAAACATCCCCCTTGCCCCAGGAAAAAAAGAAAGTCATTTGTTATAAAACTGTGAGGACACCCAAGCAAGACCCCACTTAAGATTCGTCAACATGAACTTGAGAGCTTTTGTCCACTGTTCCTCAGAGTTAAACTGGGTTTTGATGGAATAGGAGCCGCCGCTGCCTCCTGTGTCTTCAATCTTGCCTTTCTCCACATCCATCCTGTAAATGGACACAGCAGAGCTCATTAGTAACTGAGATACGAATGAAGTCAGCTCAGGCAAATGGGCAGGGCCTTGATCACAGGATCATTCATGTCATTTTATCCATTAAAAAACTCCTGGCGAGCAACGGTAGTGTATTTTGGATTTGCTTGAAAGCAAAAAATCAAGAAGGCTGTCACAAGAGCCTCATTGTCATTGTGGAATACAGGGACAGGACATACACCCAAACAGAGGAAAAGCCTGGAACAGAGGGTAAGAGTCACAGTGCTCCTCACTGTTTTCCTAGGCATCTCTGAACTCATGGGGAGAGAAGGGAGGAAGGAGGAAAAAATACTTTGTTTTGGGATGACAGAAGCAGCTCAGCCTCACTCTCTTACGCTAAGGTTTCCCTCCATCACCTGGGTCTTACAAAGTCTGACCAAACGAAGCATTCCTGTATATTTCCAAAGGCTTCAGGGGAAAACCTTCCTGAAATTGGAAAGCAGGCTTGAGCTCTGTGCCAAGAAAATGTCCCAACGATCTAGGACAACATTCTTTTCCTCTAGGGACCAGGTGGTCATATTCTCTCCAGCAGCAACATTGGACCAGTCTTTGCCTATCGGTGTCAGGTGATTTTGCACACTTTCTGCTTTCCCACCATTTATATTGTTTTTCCTCCGTACTTAGTGCGCTTCAATTTTGCTCAATTTGGTCCTACTTTTACCATAGGTTCATTGAGCACTGGGAGGATACTGACCTGTAGGGAAGACAAAAACGGGTCTCGCCTTTCTCAACCTCCTCTTTGAACTGCTGCACACAGTCCAGGAAAGCCACCATTGCATGGTCAAACTTGTTGTCCCAGAAAAACCGCAACCCTCCGGAACAGTATAATGGCAGCTCCTGCCCAGGAAGAGAGAACTGGCTGTGGGTGTGGCATCACCAGATAACCAGAGACTGCACCCCATCCTACCAATCTCCCAAGTCATGGTCTGTTTGTAAACAGTAACTCTGGCAAATAACAACGCATCTGGACCTGTTTCACCATCGATGGGACTGTATTACACCTCTACCTCACGGTGACCCCTTCCCCATCTCAGCACACACATTCTCCTCTGATCTGCCCATAGTCTTCTGGACAAACTGTGAAAACCTAATTTTTTTCTCTACAGGTGCAAAAGAGTTAATCCTAAACTAGACAAGACAGTGAACAAGAAATTGGTTCCTCGTGAGACAGCTCAGCCTAAGAAAACTGTTTCATTAGCAGGGACAAGAATTCTACATCCCGGTGGAAATGGAGCTGCCAGAATACCTTGGATTTGTCTGTCAGAGACTCCAAATATGAATGGTTTCCATAGGGAACAAGTCGATACCTAGAAAGGAGATGCAGACAGAGATGGACAGGTCTCCCTCTAAAGCGATTACTGGAGTGTTAAAATCCAGTGATCTGTCTCCATCCCACAAGGGACTTCTTTTATTATTCCCACCCCTCTCCCTCACCTCCCACAGGTTCCACGTTTAAATGATTTTGTTTTCTGAACAAACTACATTTATTATAGTTGTTTGGGGGCCTTTTATGGGCAAATGGATGTTTTAAATTTAAAAACAAAAACTGAAAAGAGCCTGAGGAACACTGAAATTCTGGAGGCAGGAGGTGGGGGCCGCAGGCGTGGCCATGTGGCTCGAGGACTACTCCGTCCATGAACCCTGTGTTGGAGTGTGAAACCAGAGGCAGACAACACACAGAAAACTCCTAGTCTGTCGGGAGCAAAAACTCATGGCCGAGGGGAAAGCAGTAGCAGGTTGAAGATACAAATCACATCAAAGACACACCATACTCCCATAGAAAGGGCTGCATTTTTACCTCTGGAATTTGAGACCCATCTTATTGGCCAGGGCATGGAGCAGCAGCACTGTCTGGCCCCAGGCTGCATTAATCTCATTCCATTCCACAGGAACACTGGGCAGACGGCCCAGTCTGAAGTTATTGATTGTGCCAAATTGTCCACTATGCCTACAGAGGAAGGCAGAAGGGCAGAGAAAACACAGGGAGAACTTAAAACTAAGAAACTCCTAAAACTTCCTATTCTCATCCAAAACCTAGCATAATCTCATCTCCAGACGAATACATCTAAGCTCTTCTTGGTTCTTCAAACACATATCAAAAACGAAGCCCTCCTCTTCCCACCTGCTCCTCAGAGGTCAAAGCAGAAATTCGGTGTCATCCTTGAGCATCTCATCTCCCTTCCCCCCAGAAACAACTAAGCTCTGTTGATTCTATCTCCTAAACCTGTCCACTTCTCTCTGCTGATTCCATCTCCTAAAGCTGTCTACTCCCCTACCTCAATGCCAGTACTCTTTTTCCTGTTTGGGTTCCTACTGACAAGTCTCCTTACCAATGACACTGCCCTCCTCCCCAAGTCATTCCCCACACTGCAGGTTCATTACTCACAAATGCAAATATACTTTCCTGCCCCAAACGCTTTATCCAACTTCTTTTGAATAAAGTCCAAATCCCTCAATGAGGCCGACATGATCCTTTAGGAACTGATAACTCTCCACTTTATATCCTGTCACTCTCCCCTTTACAATCTGAGTCACAACAGCTCCTTTCAGAGCTCTGAATGCACCACTCCCACTTTCCCCTGTTTCTTTGCACATAATGTTCTCTCTGCCAGGAACAACCCCCCTCCTCTGCAGACTTCCACTTCCAGTCTCAGCTTAAACATCAACCTCTTCTGGGAAAACTTTCCATGCAGCCTTCCCATGTTAGGTAAAGTGCCCTTATGTGTTCTCACAGCACCACAGGTTTGTCCTTATCACACTGTGTTACTTATTTATCCATCCGGTCCACTAAATTATAAGCAGAAGGCAGAACACATAATCTTTGCTATTGCACTTCTAGTGCTTAGCACAGTGCCTACCACTAGTATCTTAAAAGATACTAGTTAAATGAACACGACTTTCAAATAAACTAATAAATACATGATCCTGGAGATAAGAAATCAGTGCCAGAGGACCAGGTCTTCATGCAGCGGAAGGCCAGATCTTTCCCTTTCCTTGGAGGAGTGGATGTCACCAAACTCTAGAATTCCAGCCCCCTGACTATGTTTTTCCCCTCACAAGGAATGAAAGATACCAGGATGGGGTGAAGATGACATGCAGTCCATTTCATGGGAGATGGGTCCCCTGGCTTAGTGGTCACAGCTAAGGTCCTGCTATCTAGTGCTTCCCAGTTCCCAGATGCTCCTCGCCCTCCAGCCTGTATTACCAGATGTGGAAGGTTGCATTAAAGACATTGGTTTTCTTCAATTTTTCCAGTTGCATCTGGGCATAACGCATCTGGTTTTCTACACTCTTCAGTTCATCATCCAGTTCCAGCTGTTGTCGTTTAAATTCACTGTACTCCCTCTGATACCTGTGAGCAGCCAAGGTGCCATTGAAAGCCATCAGTTTGGGGGCCAAAATTTCTTTCTCACCACCCCTTGAAATGATTTACTCTAGTGATTAAGGGTACATCTAGTTAGGGCACCCTTTCTATTTGGTAAAGATCCCACACAAGGGAACATACATACCCTACTGTTTTGTCTGGGAGGGACAAATGTCTCAAAATCCAACTGCTGATAAAGTGGAGAAAAACAGGGCTCTCTCAAAGTAGGACCCAACACCTCTAAGAAGCACCTCTGTATTTCTGATTTTATTTTTTTAAATTTAAGATACAAGAACTGGGTTATAGGCTGGGGGGAGGAGGGATGAGAGGATTCATCAGAGACAGATTGGGGAGCAGAATAGGTGGATTGACTGAAAGACACTGCTGAGGGGAGCAGTGGGCGAAACAGGAGGTCTGCTGTGCCATGTGGATTAGCTTCCTGGCCAGGAATCAAACTCATGCTGCAGTGGCTGGCAATAGTTTGATAGCTCTGAGACTTTAACCCCTGTGCCACCAGGGAGGCCCTGTATTTCTGATCTTTTCCAGAAATGCAGTAAGTGGATTATGAGAGGTTTCGTTCATAAACTGTCCACACTGAATCTCTATAACTCATTTCTATAAACTTACTGTCCTTTAATGAACAGTATACACTACTTCCCATGGAGTGTATTACAGTACTCTGAAAAAATTAATTTCTTTGCACCTTACTTCCCCAACTTTAGTTAGTGTGGACACCAGTCAATCACTCCTCCACTAGACAAAAGGTCTTCTCAGGCTGAGCACCAATGAAATGTTTGAACTGGGAAAGAATGAATGTAGGCCAATAAGCTCATCTTTCTGATAGCGGACATAGGATAAGAGGTTGACTTAGCCAAATATGCCCAGGTACCTAAAGGCCAGAGTTGCCTCAGGGCCCTGGTTACTGCATTCTTTATTGAAACAATATGCTTCCTGCACTTAATTGTGCTACCCCTTCATATATTACCCTTCCAACTTCTATAAACAGGGCCTAGATGCAATAAGCAGGACAGTGGACTGTAGCTTATAAACTAATCTGACACACTCAGTTGCAAGCCATTTCGGCTCCTGGAGCCTTCAGGCAGGAAGGTAGAAAACTGGGAGCAGGGGCGAGGGTAGGGGTGGTCACTTACTGGGCTTCTTCCTGATCCAGTCTCTCAGCCTCAGCCTGGACCTTCTCGAGATTTTCTGCCACTATCTTGCGGTTCTTTTCCACGTCCTCTAGCTCCTGGATCAGCCTCTCCTCCTCTAATGCCAGCTCCTTTAGCTCCAGCTGTAGCTGTTCACTGTCATCCTCATTCATTTGCTCTAACATCTCCAAGCAGCGCCTGCCAGGCACACAGAGAAGGTATACTTACCAGAGGGAAAGTACTACGTTTGCCTGAGTTGAGTATCGCTCTGGTGGAAGGGTTAGTCTCAGAGAGGGGAGGGACCACTCTAAGACTCAGATCTGTTTCCAGGTCGCAGCTCTGGAGGCACTCACTTGTAGTTCTGACACTCATTTTCAGTGACGTTGAGCTGAGTGTCCAGTTGGTCTAAAAGAGTATCTGTGCATTCTTCACACAGTGGGTGATCCACATCTGTCTGGCCTGACATGATGTCAAAAAGGTCCCCTGTGACCTGGAAGTGGGGAAGAGTCAGGATTGGGTCTGTCCCTGCTACTACCCACCTACCACCTCTACCAACCAGGCCCACTGCGCAGGCCCACAGTGGAATGAAACTGACTTGCCTTCAATCTTCGGCTAAGGTTCTCCATGGTGCCGCCATCAGATGCCTCCCCAATCAGAGTGAAGCTGTTGGCACTTTCTGTAGACATCATCCTGCAGACAGCCCCCCGCCCATGGGCCACATGAGGGAGCAGAGAGGCCTCCTCCACCTACTGCAGTGCCAGTGGCAGAGACTCTCAAGCACCGGCTGAGGGGCCTCAAGTCGCATACCCACTCCTAGCCCGACTGACCTCCCAAGGGCACCTCTCTCCCAGGGGAAGGCCATGCTGGTCTTCCACAGGGGCACTCAGCACGAAGGTTGGCCTGGATGGACTAAGGAGGGAGAGGGGCATCAAAAATTGATATATGTGTATCTACAGTAAAAAGGAAGGAGAATCAGAAAAGACTACTTTTTAGAATTATACCCCTTGTAACCTTCACATGCACCAGTACTAAGAACTTGAATATCTACCAATATTTGCTATTTTAAACTTCTAAAGAGACCATCTTGTTTACTAGTCAATCCCTCCCTCCACTTTTCTCACTTCTTCATCATGAAAGTTATTGTCCCTACAATAGCTGTTGTCCCTCAGAATGGCTACAGGAAAAACTCAATCAGTACTAGAAGGTGATGGGCCAGGCATAAGGGAATATATCTTTCATGGAAATGCCAAAAGGCTAGGTGATGATTCATGTCCATCACCTGGCTCCAGGCCTCATATCTGGCTTCAATTAAAATTCTACTGCCTTTGGCAAGGAACAGGGGGCTGAGGAGTAGTAGGCACCTTGCTGGGGGGATGAATCTGCGAGAGACACCATCCGGGCGAGTTTCAATAAATGGCTCCTGGGAAGGAAATAAGAGGACATTAGAATTCTGGCCGCTTAGGGGTAGAGTATATTTCCTAAACAGCCTCAGAAATATGAGCGTGGGTTGCGAAGCTAAACCGGAGGAGGGTCCCACATGGCGCGCAGAGCTCCCCTCAGCAGTGTACTTTGGTTCTTCTGCCTGCTCTGCTCCCCGCTCTGACTCTGGTGCTTCCCGCGTTTCTGACTGAGTGCTTGTATAATAAACAAACTAAAGCATGCCTCAGAAATACTTGGCTTCCCCCTTGATTGAAACAACAAATCTTGATAAAACACAGAGACTTAAGAAATGGGCATTATCTAGCCAATCTCTGGATATATGCACTAAGAAAGGAACGATGGTACACACAAGCCTCAAATCCCACTTGGTTTTTTGTAGACAACAGCATTTCCTGACCATGTTGTACTCTATTGTAGTTAAAGTTGCATTTTCTCAACACTTACCACTCAGAGGTAGGGGAGAGAATGCCCTAAATCATGGCAGAGAAAAACTCAGATCACACTGCAATGAAGTTTGCCATCGCATAGAACAAAGTAGATAATTTTTATGTTTTCAACATAAATTTATATTTATGATATAAATTATAATGGAGCAAAATCTTATGATATGTATCTTTGGCCATGAAAATCATCACTGAAGTTGATCACCAGAGGGTTTAAAAATGACAGTGACAGCCCTTTTTGACTAGGGAATCATACAATTCACCATCCACACCAAGATACATTTGAGAATAGAGAAGAGTAGATATTAACAATTGACTAGGGCAACAGATGTAAACCAAGAATGCCCTGGGCGGGGGTCAACCTGGACACAGAGGTCTTCCCATGTCCCTCCTATAATGGCTTATAATTCTGTTTCAAATAGAGCCTCTTCCCACATTTTTTAATGGATGTTACATTAAGTAACACCACTACCTGAAGTGTATTCTGTCCTTCCAATGATCCACATTGGCCTTGTCATGTATTACATGTCGTTAACCATAGATTCCAAAAGTGGGGGGGAGCCTAAGAGCACCAAGTACCTGACAAAACCCACTGTGCATTCCAGTATTTTCATACCTCTCCTGAGTTAGCCTCTTCCTCATGGGTCTCTCCTGGTTTCGCCTGGGCTGTGGCAAGTAATGGAGCTAAGGATAAGGAAAATATTGAGTCAGAACAGTCCTATCAAAGCCAGAGGGCATATGAAAATATATAAAAAGAATTAAGAAATATCATCACCAGTACTATTAATACACAGAAGAATCTTGTCTTCTTTCCCTTACCCCTATCCCCCATCAATGCAAATTAAGGATTTTTTTTTCCTGGTAAAATGGTATCATGATTATGTTTCAAAAAAGATACCTTCGTCTTCCAAAAATACCAAAATATATACAGTAATTATATGTTTGGGATTTGCTTTAAAATAATTCTGAGTGGGATAGGAACAGATGGGACTGTAAAGGAAATATTATTAAATATGCATTGATGACTGTTGAAACTAGGTAATAGGTACATGGGGATGCATTAATTACTTTATAACAACCTCATTCCCCAGAATAACTGGAAAGGAACATAAGGGAAATTTCTGGAAAGATGAAACCTTTCTAAATGGCATTGATCTAGGTTACATGAGTGTATCCATTTCTCAAAAATGTTTAACTAAGAGTTGTATATTTCAATGCATGGCAATTTACCTTTAAAAAAGAGTGAAAAAATAATTGAGTGGGGATAGGAGGTGAGTAACAGTATAGACAATACAAGAATGGCAGAATGTGGCTAACTGTTGAAGCTGGGTGACAGATAACAAGGGAATTCATTATACTATTCTCTTGGCTGTATGTTTGAAATTTTCCATAAGAAAAAGTGTAAATATATTAAAAAGTTAATCCCCCTTTTAAAAAGAAAAATAAGGTAGTAACAATTGCTAATGTTTATTGAATACTATTTGCTTAGTATATTCCTATATATACATAATTTGTCATAGTTGCGCCTTACAACTGCTTTCAGGTCTTTTTACACTTTACAGATAAAGAAACCACAGCTTGTCCAAGAATTAGAGGGGTGAAGTAGCTTGCAATAAGTCATTCAGCTGGTAAATGACAGCCATGATTTAAATCCAAGCAGGCTGATTCCAACACCATGAGTTTATTTAAACTGTCTTTTCTTTGTTCTCTAACTTCATCTCCCTTCTTCAAACTCTAAGACTCTGTTCCTCCACTTACCAGCTGGTTAAGGTAAGTTCCTTAACCTCCTTGAGCCTCAATTCCTCATCTGTTAAGTAATGATAACGATTGCACTATTTCATAGGTGTAGGTGGAAAAAATGAAGTGTGTAATGCACTTGGTATATGACAAGTCCTCAACAAATACCGTTTATTATTGCATAACACTGTATGTGCATATTCCATTACTCTGA